TCCCCAGCCAGCCCTGGCTGTGGAATTCTGGGAGTTGAAGTCCACCCATCTTAAAGTTGCTGAGCTTGAAGAACCCTGGGCTAAGGGATGTATCGGGAAAGTGGCCCTCCTATTGGCCTGGGGAAAGGCTGGTCCCATTTGGGGGGTGGGAAAGGGGGCTGCGTTCAGGGAGCTACAAAAAGCCAGCCTCTTCCAGCACATATTATTGCTAAAAATCCTAGTCACCTCCCAAAGTAGTGATTGAAAATATTTCTCATCCCATCAGCATAAAAAATGTGTACTATAATTGACATCCCTTGTAACAAGGAACATTCTGTTTCGGGTTTCCTTGCAGAAACAGTAATATGCGAACACTTACCATCGCCCCCTTCCCCAACCGAGTCTTGATGCCTTCTAGAAAAAGGGGAAATACGGCCAGGATGCTAGATGATCCAGAGAGAGACTGAAACAGCCAAAGGGGGCCCTCAAATGTTTCCCATCGATCATGAATTGGCCCATGAAAAATGTTTCATGTAGGGCCAGCAGACCCAGGCTGCCCTATCCTTTATTATAAAGAATTTTGATTATAATAGTAACATCTAATACAAACTAGACTTAAAGAAAAGAGGACAGAGAGAAGGGGCAAAAAGCGCAGGGAAAAAGAAAGGAAAAAAGAAGAAGAAAATGAAATGTGAGAATATAACCAAAACGGCACCAATCCTGACTCTTTGCTGCCATCTCGTGGCGCCTGGATTTTTCTGGCCCAAATTTCGTACCCGAGGCAGACGGATAAACGCCATGTTAAACATGATCACAAATGGAGCAAGAGTGTATTTACTGTAATACATCTTTTTTTAGTCTTTTCAGCCCAAAGGAATCATAAAAGGGCTTCGTCCATCAGCAGGATAACTCTCCAAAAACTTAACAAAATGGGACAACATCTGGATCCAGGCAGAGAAAGAAAGATCAAATTAAAAAATGGGCTGTATCCATCTTGGGGCTGGGGAGGGAAAAATCCAGGAAAAAAAAGCCCCCCAATGCTTTTCTATGGGGAGAATGCTAGAGGGCTGTGACTTAAAATGCAATTCCATACCCTCTTAATTCCAATTAAAGAGAAGATCTGTAGCTCAGGGTTGCACCGTGGAGTCCTTGGTGTTCCCTGAGCTTGGTGGTTTGCTTGCAGACGTTTCATTACCCAACTAGGTAACGTCATCAGGGCGAGGGAGTGTGAGGTTTGGTACCTGCTTATATATAGTGGCTTGCCCTGCCAGTTTTGGTGGGCATGTGCAAGCTATTATATATAAACAGGCAGCAAGCCCCATGCTCCCTCGCCGTGATGATGTTACCTAGTTGGGTGATGAACCGTTTGCAAGCAAACCACCAGGCCCAGCGAGCACCAAGGACTCCCCTCTCTTAATTTTCAGGTGATAAAAAGGGAATTGCTGATTATCAAAAGACTTTGCAGCCATCCGGTGCTATTTCTCCAGTACTTTTGACTGCCGGAAGTTCTCCAGCACCCAACCATTGCAGGGAAGAAAGTGATTCTTGTACTTGGCCACTGGAGTCTTCTAGTGGGAGAGGCTGCAGGATGAAGCTCAGCTCATCCTGGAATCGACAGATCTGGAAGTCCTTTCCGTTCCCGGAAAGATACCTCTCGCCACCGCTGGCAAACCGTTTGCTATTAGCTTGATGGAGATGCAAGACTAGTTTGAAGGAGGGGCCAAAAAAGGATTTGTGGTTTTGGAAATAGCTACCCACAGAGAACTACCCCGCCCCCCCATGTTCCCTTTCTGCATGGCACACAGTCACCAACTGGGAAGTAGGAACATTAATTCTTTAGTGCAGTGTTTCTCAACCTTGGCCACTTTAAGATGGGTGGACTTTAACTCCCAGGAATTCCCAAGGAACACGGGTTGGTGGGGGAGTTTTGGGGGTTTAGTTCCACCACTTTTAAAAGGTCCAAGGTGGAGAAACACCCCACT